TGTACAAGAGAACAATGCACCATAGTAACAATCTATGTAAATACGAGAACATTGAAAGAACGAAAATGAAGTATGATTTATCTAGGAGGATTAAAAGTTGTTGAATTACGTTTTTATCTCGCATAAATAGCTAACTATCGAAGGCATAGAAAATGCTGCCCAGGTTGTAAGATTTCTCATTAATTACGTGCTAAGAATATTACTTAAAATTTTATGTTTGAGATAGAATAGGAATGTAAGCCATAGAATAAAGGCAAAATGTGCCCAGTAAAGAAATATAGGTATTGGAATCAGTAGAAGAAAAAATTAGAATTTTAAAACTTAACCTTTAATGGTTTGTAATTAAAATGTTCATTAAGATATATATATATCTTCACCATTATATAAAATCAGCAAACATGGTTGTTTAGGTATATTATAGCAGCTATTCAAGCACTTCCAATAGAGTATTATTATTATTATTTATATAGCGCCATCAGATTTCATAGTGCTGTACAATGTGAATAACCCTTTTGTTGATGTTAAAGGACCACTATAGGCACCCAGACCACTTCAGCTTAATGAGGTGGTATGGGTGCCTGGTCCATCTAGGGTTAACCCTTTTTTCTATAAACATAGCAGTTCCAGAGAAACTGCTATGTTTATGTTAGGGTTAATCCAGCCTCTAGTGGCTGTCTCATTGACAGCCGCTAGAGGGCTTCTGCATTTCTCACTGTGAAAATCACAGTGAGAAGACGCCAGCGTCCATAGGAAAGCATTGTGAATGCTTTCCTATGGACTGGCTGAATGCGCGCATGCGCATTCAGCCGAAGAGGAGGAGAAGAGGGAGGAGAGCTCCCCGCCTGGCGCTGGAGAAAGAGGTAAGTTTAACCCCTTCCTCTCCCCAGAGCCCGGCGGGAGGGGGACCCTGAGTGTGGGGGCACCCTCAGGGCATTATAGTGCCAGGAAAACGAGTATGTTTTCCTGGCACTATAGTGGTCCTTTAAGTTAAAAAAGATCTAGTGAATTTCATCTGAACATAGCGTGGATTCACTGCAACCTACCTAGCAACCTTCCTAGAGGCTCTGTGATACATACCTCAATAGTTATCAGACCTAGGTAGGGTGCACTGAATCCACGCTATCTTCAGACGAAATGCACTAGATCTTCTTAACTAGTAACAACTTATTAACTGGAAACAATGGTGGGTGTGAAACAGGATTATCTTGAGCATAGAAGTTATTAGGCATTTCTTTAAGGGGTGCCTTCGAAGGCACATATTAAGGACCAACATTATGTATGTTTATCCAAGCTAGAAAACCATCCTTAATATCATCAATGGCAGTTTGCCATTCACGTTTCACTCCATACTGCAAGTGACACTTTTTGTTCCACATTGATACAATCTGTACCGCCATAATTGCATCAAAGATTTAAGTGCTATGTATACAGCTGCCTACACGCAATGAATATCGTTACAGACACATAGAGCTTCTTCTGAGATAGGGGATTAGTCCGTGGAATTGGCATGCAATTGATATATAAAATAGTGCACGATTACCCTACCAAGACTAGAGTTGAGCGGACACCTGGATGTTCGGGTTCGGCAGAACTTTGAAAAAAAGTCGGGGTTCGGGCTCGAACGTGACCCCGAACTTGACCCCAAACTTGACCCCGAACCCCATTGAAGTCAATGGGGACCTGAACTTTTGGCCCCAAAAATGGCTCTAAAAAACTCCTGGAAAGGGCTAGAGGGCTGCAAAAGGAAGTCAAATGGGGGTAAGAGTAGGACAAGTGCCCTGCAAACAAATGTGGATCGGGAAATCACTTAAAAATAACATAAAATAAGCAGCCGCTTAGTAGATAACTCCCTAATTCACACGGTATTAGGGAGCTATCTACCAAAAGGCTGAAAGACCTAAATAGGTCACCTAAATTGGTCTTTCAGCCGCATTTACTAATACTAAGTAAAGATTACAGTATAGTGAGTAGGGGTGTGTCTAGTAAACAGTGAGCAGCCAGTGGCTGCTCACTGTAGAAAAAAACAAAAAAAACCCTATTGCCCTCATCCCTGTGCAACGGGTGGGGGCCCTAAATAAGAATGTGGAGGGGGGACCTACTGTCCTCCCCCCGGCCTCCCCCCCTGCACAGTGGGTGGGGGCCATAAATAAAAATGTGGAGGGGGGAACCTACTGTCCTCGCCCCGGTCCCCACCCCTGAGCGATGGGTGGGGGCCATAAATAAAAATTGGGGGGGTCCTAATGTCCTCCCCCCGGCCCCCACCCCTGTGCAGCAGGTGGGGTCCTAAATGACAATAAGGGGGGGGAACCTAATGTCCTACCCCCGGCCCGCACCACCGTGCAGTGGGTGGGGGCCCTAAATAACAATAAGGGGGGGACATAATGTCCTCCCCCCTGCCCCCACCCCTGAGCGGTGGGTGGGGGCCATAAATAAAAATCCCCCCCAGGTGACTAGGGGTCCCCAAGCCTCTAGTCACCCCCCTTCCCTTCCTACCCCCCTCATTTACATTTACCTGTCACAACACCCCTGCAATTAGGCTCAGAGCACTCTGATTGGTGGGTTTAAGCCATCCAATCAGAGTGCTTTGACAGGTAAATGAAGAGAAGTCTCTACATTTACCTGTCACAGCACTCTGATTGGTTGGCTTGAAATCCACCAATCAGAGTGCTCTATGTCATTTAAACACAGCATGGGAAAGTTCTTTGGAATTTTCCCACGCTGTGTAAAACGACACAGAGCACTCTGATTGGTGGATTTCAAGCCAACCAATCAGAGTGCTGTGACAGGTAAATGTAGAGACTTCTCTTCATTTACCTGTCAAAGCACTCTGATTGGATGGCTTAAACCCACCAATCAGAGTGCTCTGAGCCTAATTGCAGGGGGGGGGGGGCAAGGCTTTATAAGCCTTCCCCCGCCCTGCAGAGCTCAGTCTGTGCAGAGCCCTCCATGGGTGAAGAAGGATTAGGTAGGGGTAATTTTTTTGGGGGGAGGAGGGTGACTAGGGGTTTGGGGACCCATAGTCACCTGGGGGGATTTTTATTTATGACCCCCACCCACCGCTTGGTGGGGGACCGGGGGGGGAGGACAGTAGGTCCCCCCCTCCGTGCAGGGGTGGGGACTGGGGGGAGGACATTAGATCCCCCCCTTATTGTTATTTAGTGCCCCCTCCCGCCGCACAGGGGTGGGGGCTGGGGGGGCAGGACAGTAGGTTCGACCCCCTTATTGTTATTTAGGACCCTCACCCGCCGCGCAGGGATGGGGGCTGGGGGGGGGGGAGGACATTAGGTCCCCCCAATTTTTATTTATGGCCCCCACCCACCGCTCAGTAGTGGGGGCCGGGGGGGGAGGACATTGGGTCCCCCCCAATTTTTATTTATGGCCCCCACCCACCGCTCAGGGGTGGGGGTAGGACATTAGTTCCCCCCTCTTATTGTTATTTAGGGCCCCCACCCGCTGCGCAGGGGTGGGGTCCGGGGGGAGGACATTAGGTCCCCCCCAATTTTTATTTATGGCCCCCACCCACCGCTCAGGGGTGGGGGCCAAGACACTTTCCAAGACACTTTCAAATCAGTCTAGTTAGGAGGCTCGACACCTACACAACAAGCCCCCTAGAGTAGATTAGCAGCTGCAGCTACCGGCACTGGAGCCCTATCAGATTCATAAATTCACAATAGTAATAAAGTTCTTTATCAAATCAAGCAAAATTATGATCAAATTATCTACTTACAACTCGATCATATTTTAAGAGACAGCTAACTAAGGGTTAACTTTGCAGTAATCCTTGGCTGCAAATTTATTTCTATCGCACTTTTGTTTCGTTTTTAACTTAACAGCAACAAAGGGGTTAATACTCTATCGGACGTGCTTGAATAGCTGCTATCCTACACCTAAACAACCATGTTTGCTGATTTACTATAACGGTGAAGATATTTCTATATATATATATATATATATATATATATATATCTTAGTGAACATTTTAATTACAAACCATTAAATGTTAAGTTCTAAAATTCTATTTTTTTAATCTACTGATTCCAATACCTATTTTTCTTTGCTGGGCACATTTTGCATTTATTCTATGGCTTACACTCCTATTCAATCTCAAACATAAAATTTGGATTAAATTTAGGGGTTACCCCCCACTATAGGAGTCATACAATAATTATATTGAATTCCTTGTTACTTTTCTAAGAGTATTACTTGGCTCACAATGAGACAGTTACAAGTTATGTTATCAGATGTTCATTTAAATCATATAGTAATAATAATGCACTTAAACCCATCCATTTATAAGCATTTTCCCGTTTTATGGAATTTGATGTGTTTCTAGTAGATGTGATTTAATCTACTTTCGTTATGAAACTTAAGTGTGACGTGATATCTGAGAATGTACAGTCATTCATTTTTTTATTTTTCAGAGTCAAGCATTACAAAACCTGAAGCAGTCGAAGAAATTATTGGGAAATGCCTCCAAGACTGTAAGCAAGTTTGAGCGTGGCCCTTTTTACCTCTTGTATCTGTCAACATAGTTTTCTTTTCTGTAACTTACTTGCTGTTATGTTTCCCCTCTGTATAATTGAAAGGCACTGTAGAATACATTGACACCGTATAAATGCTAATAAGGAAAAAAATGACTTTCTCATGACCCTGGGCTTCAGTAATAAGGGTGAAACTCATGACTGTATTGCTGATGTTCACTCTCATGACGTTTCCTGATGATGCGGATGTTTATGACTATTCCTGATGATGCTGACATTGTAGTGTTACTAGATATCCAGACTGGAACACAATTAAGCAATCTATGAAATCTGTACATTTATTGATCTTTAATGGCTTTATTTTATAAATATCAGAGCCATGGAGTATCAGGTGTGTGCTTTGTGTTTTATTTAAATGTGGACATGATGCACACCATTACAGAATACTTAGGACAAGTATAATAAAGTATTTTTAAATGAGGCGATACGCACACTATAAAATATAAGAAGTAACATAATTCCAGTCATACGTGTATTATTGATCTAGAAAAAGCACAACATTAATTCATGGAGTGCTCACTAATGGATGTTGTAATTTCTTCTTGTCGGATGTATTTCTAATAGCAGTTCTCACTAGTTAAATTTTTATAGATAAAACCTACGGACACTGCTAATAAGTTACAATAAAATAAGATCCTTAGACAATAAAAACAAAAAGCAATGGAGACAAATAGTAAAATCAGAGCATATATAACAGTAATCCTGGGGATCTAAAACCAAGTTTTATCAGTAATACAGTCATGGAGGTATGTATAAATAATGCAGTGAGGGATACAGTTTCTCTTGTGTATTAAGTATCACTGCAAAATGTGACCAACTCAAAACAGAAACCGTTTTCAGACGTTTTATCTCCATGTTCTTCTTGTGGTTCTTCTTGTGCTTTAATGACTTGGCTGCTACAAATATTGCTAAATGTACAATATTCATATATACCTTATTAATTTTTACTTTAGTCTGCACTTCCTGATTATTTGTTTTAATTGTTACTAGTTTGATTTTTACTTGTTTTCATCTGTGTCAAAGACTAATCTAACTTCTGCTGCATACATACACCTGCATAAACATTAAACATAGGTCAAACTCCTAGTTAGAGAGGCAGCTCTCTAATTAGGTCAGTTAGGCTGCCACCTAAAAACTTGTGGGGTCTGGAAGAATTTATTGCCGGTCCGCAAAAGCTTTCACCCGACTATACCGTCTGGTGAAAGCTTTCGAAGACAGTCAATAAATTGCCGCAAGATATTTTCGGTAACCGTGCCTCCTTCTCCCCTGACAGCTCTGCAGGATCGCACGGAGATTAGAGATCTCCCTCACCGGCCCGCAAGCAGAATACTGCTGGCAGCCAGCAAGGGAGGGAGACCGGAGAAGCTCTAACCTGCAGCTCCACCGGGTTCTCCTCTTGCGAGCTCGGAATGTTGCCACGGTTAACACAGCAATGCTCCAAATCTCGCAAGAGTGAACTCTAGCAGTTCCTGAGGCTGCTGGGGTTCACACTCACCACTGGAACCACCAGGGCTTCTCCACCGGACCACCAGGGATTAGTACTGTCCCCCCCTCCCAGGCAAAGGTAGGCAGGGAGGGGGCATATCAAAGGTATTATTTTTATTAATTAACAAAAATATATAATTTATTAATCTACCCTCAATAATTCTTCCACATACACAGGCAATAATTCTCCCACATACACACACTGCCCCCACACACACTGTCCCTCACACACACAAACATTTCCCCCCATACACACTGCCCCCCATACACACACACACACACAATACCCCCTCACACACGCAAACACACACACACTGCACCCCTTCATACACTGCCCCCTACACACAAACACTGCCCCCTTCACACACACTGCCCCCCTCACAAAACACACACTGCATCCCTCACACATACTATTGGTTTTTATTTCTGTCTGACGCCGGTCCGCGAAATATTTCTCCTCTTTTCGCTGGTCCGCGGGTATTAAAAGGTTGCAGAACACTGCTCTAGGCCACCTGACTCGCCTCAGTGAAGAGTCCCCAGGCATACTCACCCATTAAGCATTCAGTCATGGGCTAGGCCCAGACACCAGGAGGCGCCCAGAAGTTTGGCATGTGTATTGTTGTGGGGGAGCCCCTATGTAATGCTGTGGGGGAGCCTGGAAGCCATTGGTCTGCACCATGTCAAACTGTCTCCCATCTCTGGCTTATCTAGTCTAAGCAAAATCGATTGAAAAAGGACAAATTAGGATTAAAGGGACACTGTAGGCACCCAGATCACTTCAGCCCATGGAAGTAGTCTGGGTGCCAACTCCCATCACCATTAACCCTGCAAGTGTAATTATTATAGTTTTTTATAAACTGCAATAACTACCCTGCAGGGTTAAGTCGTCCTCTAGTGGCTGTCTACCAGACAGACACTAGAGGGACTTCCAGCTTCTTAGACGACTTTTAGTCGTCTAAATGACGCTGGGCATCCTCACGCTATGCATAAGGACCTCTAGTGTTGCCGGAATCACCATAGGAATTGAATAATGCTTTCTTATGGGGAGGACCAATGTGCATGCGCATAAGGTCTCCCCCGCCGGCGGATGTCAGTGGGGCGGAGCCTGACCCAGCACAGAGGGACATCAGCGGGAGGCAGGCACTCCAGGATTCTACAGTGCCAGGAAAACAGGTTTGTTTTCCTGGCACTAGAGAATCCCTTAAGGAAGAGAAGAGGAACAGATTGAAGTAATTTAAGTATAGGGTCACAGAGCCACTTTAATTTTGTGGGGTCGGGGCCATGCAGAGATAAGACTCCCTCAGACTGAACACACCAATTTCAGAGTCAAAATCACCACTGGCCAGACAGCCTAAAATACCAGATGTACCTGTAAATACTGGCAACCCTATAGCGGGATTAGGGAAGACAAATGAGAGCTCCATGTTAAGTTAAGTTTACACATTTACTGGAAAGTGGGAAATACAAGTCTGAAGCAAGACCATTTTGCAAAAGATGCTAAAAGAAAAATATAATCTTCCCTTCAAAATGCACACAGTGGCGATAATTCTTTGCAGGTATCGTCTCTGTAATAGCATTATAGTTGGAGCTTCCTCCCTAACATCATTTCCCTTTAATTTCTTTCCTTGCATTTCCGTTATTTGCAGCATAGAAAATAAATTGGTTTTGACAATAATTCTTTGTCAGTGTGGGTATTTCTAAATAAAACAAATTATATTAAAACATTTAAAACACAAAAAATGAAACATTTCAGAAAAGGTGTTTTCATCCATTTATCTGTTTAAGAGATGGTTTCCATTTTTTTGTACAGATAGATGACACCTGAGATGTAGTCAGATTCTCCTTGGACTTCCTGTTCGGAGGTGGCCTTTTCCCACTTTTCAATGTTCTGAATAGTGATACAGTCACACAGTCCCGAGCTTTGTAATGCTGCGAGCTCATGCTCTAGCTCAGCCTTGTACTGAAGGTTAGATGTATTACTGCGAGTCGTGAGACACAGAAGACCCCCTAGCAGACAAACAGAAATTTTACTTATACTTTAAAAAAAACAAAAAACTCATTGTATTAATGTATATTAATGCTGCAAATAAGAATACCAAGCTATTTAACAGGAAATTTGTATTTTACTTTTCACTTGTATCTTGTGAAGTCTAGATATTATTATTACCCAACTTAATGGCACTCTTTTTGATCAACCTTGGAAAAATGAATGACTGAATTGACTCTGAGGCATAAGTCAAATATTATAGCTAGAGGCAATAGTTAAAAAAAAGAAAAGCTTTTGTGAAAACAAGATGGCAAAATAAGAGGCTAACAGTGCAAACCGTGCTAACAGTGCAAATAGCAGAAAAAAAATTCTCGCTGCCAATACATCCGACTTATTTTTATTATTTTTATTACTTGCTAAAGACAGACATTTTCAACCAGAAGAGAAATAGAGACTATGAAGATAAGACATTGACTTGACACTAGCATTTAACAATCTCACACTTTCAAATGTGAGTGACCCCAATTTTATGGAGATGGTTGATGCGGTATGCTATATTATCTCATTATTCATGCGCATGATCCTCTGTGGCAGATCCTACATGTTGACATGTGTGATAGTATGGATAGTATATCTGTGACATAATAATGTGAAATGAAACCGCCAAGAGATGAAGATCCTGACAAAGAAGATGGCAGAGGAGAAAGAGTTTAACCCCTTAAGGACCAAACTTCTGGAATAAAAGGGAATCATTACATGTCACACATGTCATGTGTCCTTAAGGGGTTAATCTAAGTATATCCACTTTCCCCTATCCCCCAGGGCATCACCTTGTAAGTCGGCATGCCACCTTGGGGGTAGGGGAGAGGGCACTATACAAGAAAATGCAAAGAACCAAAAAATGACAGCACCATCCCTTTATCTAGTATTAACTTATTAACTGCTTGTACGTTTATCTCATTATAAGTACACTGAGCTTCATTTGTACTCTTTTGGGTATCCTCTGCTACACTAGCACTAGTCATATAAATTGAAAATAGATTTATTTTTTTTAGGACACCAAAATAGAGCATATTTTAATTTATGTTAGTGTTCAATATGTGGCTAATTATATTATCAGATATATAATCAGATTTTCATATATGTACTTTGTTTATGCATTTTGCAATTCAAGTATCCACGGCTGTAGCGGATGGCACAGGGCTTTCCTGGGAATTGCATATGTTTAAATGTATTTGTTTAAATTGCAGGGTTATATGTGTAAAAATAGGTTGTATTCGTCTGATTGTTCGGTAGAATCATTCTAGCAACTAAAGGAATGAAACTACCGAACAGTCAGACCTCCCCTGTTTGAAGTGTGCCTTCAATTACTCGTTGCAACAATGTTGCGAACAGGTAATTGAGAAGCTGCGCAGTGGGTCCTTTGTTCTCGGGGGTGGCCGCCATTCGGATAACGAACACGTGGTGGCGGCCATTTTAAAACTCCCGAACAGCGGTGTTTTGCCGTCGAGTGTCTGGAACCCAAATCGGACACTCGGCTACACAAACACCGCTGAGACCTCCATATGCACGATACGTTCGCTTCCAAACTACCGAACGGCCCCTCGTTCGGTAGAAAGAAACAACCGAACGAGGGGATTCATGCGAACCCCCCTGATCTCTGTAACCTTAGCCTTTCGTGCAGTTTGTTCCCTTATACTGTGACCGACCGCAGGGCCTTATCGCATGGAACACAATTCGGCTGTTCTCTCCAGCGCGGTCGGTCTTTTCATTACCTCCACAAATTTCCTGAACCCCTGGTCCGATCTGGGTGATTTTTGGATATGTTGCTCACCCAGATCAGGGCTACCAGGGGATGTGCCATTTAAAGGGGTACCCCTAGATTTAGAGGTACATACAGAAACTGGGGGAATTTGTGTACTGTATAAGGTGATTATGAGTCAGGCTGAGGGGAGGAGATGTGTGGGAGGTTACCAGAACAGGATTGGATACTGTAATAATTAATGGAAATCCCTCCCTTGCATGGGAGTATGCTTTATAAGGCCACTGTGGAAATAAAAGTTTAGTTCTGCTCCTGATGCTGTGTGTCGTCCAGTTATTGGGATTGCTGTTGGGATATTACTTTATTGTTTTACCTGCTGGAAACCTTGCTTTATGGATTTATAACTACTTGTTCCTGAGCCTCCATGGGATCTTAAGCGGAGATAATTTGTGGAATACTAGATCTCCGCTACAACGTCAAACTGAGTCATCAATCTTAAACCCAAAGATATACAATAACATGTATGGTATACCAGAAGTACAATTTTCTAAGTGTACCGCACACTCAGTACACTTTATAAAGCAGCTACAGATATTTCATATGACGAGTTGAACTTCTGCAGGAGGTGAACTATTAAACAGAATAGAAAAATAATATATAAACACTAATATGTGAGACAAAATAAAATGCAAATAGTATGTGAAAAAGTGAAATCCCTGGTGTGCCGCACAACACCCAAACTATGCAAACAAAGAATATGGGAAAAACAAAATACACCTAAAAAGAAATATAGTAGATATAGGATATTCTACTGATGTATGTAGGAATCTGAAAACAATCATAAATAATACATAGCATAATACTGTAACATGGACCACCCCCCAGTGAGTAAAAAGTAGAAAACTCACAAACACACGAAAAAAGGCTCATCACCCTTGATAGGGTACTGGAATGAAGATAGGTGAACTATTTATTGCTCTACTTATCCCATGCTCATGGTAGACTCAGTCCTGCTGGTGAGTTTGCTTTGTATTTAAATAGAGGGGTTTTTTCCCCACTATAGCTTCTATTTCATAAATAAATGTAGCTGAATTGGTCTCACCCACCTGGTTTAGTTACACGTAGAAGTTCATGGATAACAGATACAGGGACCTGCCCATCACTCAGTGCTCCCACAATAATGACTACATCGTAAAAATCTGAAAACAAAGATCTCACATTATTAACCTTTTTTTTCCCAAGTATCATTATTGTAGCGGGACACCGACACTAAGTACCATGCCCACAGAATATTCATATGTTTTGCCCTTGTAATTAGTGTCCTCAATGCTTATTCCAACGATGTTCCCTTGTACTCTGTGTTTCCCCATGTATCTATATGTAATTGTGATGCATTTGTGTATTTTACCTGCTCCCTGTTCGGGAGAGCTCATACGAACGGGTTCTGTTCAGCTCCTGAACGGGGACCACCCAGACACCTCACTTAGAATGTTAGTATAGTAAGTTCACACCTCGTAAACAAGCGGCACGTTCTTCCCCTGGGTGGCCGCTGGTTCGTGTAATCGAACGCCAAATTAGGGGCAGCATTCGTATCCCGAACTGGCGTGCGCACACTCTCTCCGGTCCCCGTGTCGGGATCGTCCAACCTGCTCTCAACTGAGCTTTAGTCACTCAGGGGGTTGTGTGTTCCAAATAAAGTGAGTTTAGTGTTTTAACCTCCAGAACTGTGTGTCGTCCGGTTACTGGAGGGAAGGAAGATTTAACCCCTGTGTCTGCTGTTCCAGCTTTCAGGGAGATGCAACGGGGAAAGTCCTTGGAAGGACTAAGAGAGCTAGTTCCCCCTATCCGTTTCCCTGGGTCCCAGCTAGGAAGCAACCCCTCTGGTGGATGTACCCAGCCGTGGTACAGGGAGCTCCACTACAATTATATTCATTTTTTGTAAAGAAAAATGCTGGGTGACTTTATTTAGCCTAGAAAGCAAGATGACTTATCTAGATCAGAGCAAAGCATTTAACACTGTGCCACACATGAAACAAATAAAAACATAACTACAAGACAGATACAAGTGTTCAGATGAGCTATCAGAGGATTTAAGCAACACTGTAACTTTAGAGTGTTTCATAAATTGTTGAGACTATGTACCTGTGCAGCAAGCAAAAAATGCCTATGTCACCTTAAGAAGATCTAATGAATTGCTTAAGAAGATCTAATGAATATCCTGTGGTCTCACCAGATCTCCCATTGTTATAGACCTCTTTATTTCTCTCTTGTCCATGTGTAGGAGAGCATAATATGGCTCCTGGCAGTTGAAACTGACAGTCGGTGAAAGAAATGGTGGTGGGTATTTATTATTATTTTGTAAATGCGCCTCCTACTGGAACACATTGGAGAGAATTTGGTCATTTGAATGTGTTGGGTAAATTCTGAATCTTACATTTTGTATGGGATATAGGCACAAAGGTTGTTCAGAATCAGATGTGCATATTTGGTGCGACTGATGCAATTTATCCCATTATTACTTTTGATATCCAATTTCAAATTCATGGTAAATCCAGTGATTTACACCAAATCTTGTTCCTCTGAAGTAAAAAAAAAAAAAAAAAAACAGTTTAAGTAGGAACTTGGGAGCGACTCTAACGAACGCTAACTCTTTGATTTGATATAGGAGTTAAACAAGCGTATTTTTTTACCAGATGTTGAAGGAAGTGGCCCCTGCCCCAGCATGCACTGCTTTAGCTCTTGGTAGAGTTTTTTGGTCTCAGCCATTTCCAGCATTCTGGCACTGCCATCCAGGCCATGGAACAAGCGAAATCCACAACGCAGCAACTGGAAGAGAAAGGGAACGTGAAACTGGCAGTTGCGTGGTCCAATCACAGGATTCTCATAGAGGATCCCGTGACTGGACTGTTTTTCCCGCTCAGAGTGCATTCACACAATCTGAGCCAGGGGCAAAGGGGAGGGAGATCTTTATTTAAAAATAAAAACAAAAACATTCAAGTAGTGGAGGGAGTCGGGGAGGAAGAAAGGGAAGGGAAAGCAATCTTTCCCTTGTAGGCACTCTGCTTGCAAGGGAGAAGATTTATGTGTCTGTTGCCAGCATGCTGTGTTCACTGACACCAAAACATTTTTATGCACAGAATTGACATTATTGCCGGGAGCTCTGGCTGCTGAAGTCACATGTGCTGGGGGTGCAACTAGCCTCCAGCACACAATTAACAAAATGGACACCTACTACCATGACCATTTAAAATACCTGTTTCTGTGATGGTTTAAGTATATTTTGTTATGTTCATGATTTTTTTTTAAATAGTGTGTATTGGTTACTTTGAGAAAATGTCACTTTTTTAAAATCTGGTTGAGCAGCCATGTTGGGCCAGGGTCTACTGTTATCTGACCAGCTATTGCTCAAGCTAACTTGCCTGCTGCTGTGATTGCTCTGTGTGAACCTGCAGCAGCAGGAAAGTTAGGTTGAGCAGCAATTAGTCGGATAACTGGAATCATACCCAACATGACTGCTCAGTTAGCTACAAATCAATACAAATCATTTAAACAAGTGATTACGTTTTATTAAATAGTAATTAAAAAATAGTAATAAACTTTAAAAACATAAGTGAAAATTAGAGTAATGGACTATTAAGTGGGATCCAAAATTCAGTATTTTGAATTTCCCACTAGCATTATAGTTGGACTACGAAGGAGGTATATTGGAGAACAATTTATTAAGTAAAATGCAGAGGAACCCCCCCCCCCCCCCCCCGCCAAATCATGCAAGCATTTATGTCTAGCTGTGAAATAGCACTTTAGTCGTTGTCAGCTTTTACCACATAGAATGATGTTCTTACCTCCTGAGCTACTAGTCCAGTGCCACAAGCTACATCCAATACCAGTTTTGACTCTCGATTAGAGATGCACCTCGAGGCTAGCACAGCTGCAACAAGACGGGGGGCATTGTATTCCAATACAGACACATCCTTAAACAGAAAATCACAGCCATAGCTGTTTTTGTAGGGGTCACAGTGGCAAAAATCACATATGCAATGCAAATGTCCCAGTATAAGCAATAATTAAAATTATATTGATAGGATGACCATAGATCACCCCTTGCACCCCTCCCTGTCACAGGTGCCTCATCCCAGGGCCCTATTTAGCCTTTTACTGCGGAGAACTTGAGATGGAATTTTGTCCCCAAGTGAGTAGCTCATTTAGCAGACATTTGGCTGTTAGAGTATGACCTGTCAAAGATAGGGCACATTGAGGTTGTGGCAGGCTTATGCAATGTATGATCATATAATGTAACAAAACCCCCATTATTTTTTGCCTAGATTAGGTGTTTTAAAACGAAAAATTAAGAAAATCTGTCAGCACCAAAGTTGCTGTTTAGTAGATAAGGGAGTGCGCTGGATTTTAATTTTTATCATAGATCAGGGATAGGCATCCTTCAGGCACTCCAGATGTTTAGGACTGCACCTCCCACGATGCGTTGCATTACGATCCGTAGCATTACGGCTATAAGAGCATCATGGGAGATGTAGTCCACAATATCTGGAGTGCTGAAGGCTTTCTAACCCTGCCATAGATGCTAGTGTATTTATATAAATAATATATACAATTTTGTATTTGCCCTCCTACTACTACTACTACTGTTAACCCTTCACTTCCACACATCCACCTGTAGACACAAGTATGAAATAAATACTGCTTACCTTATTTAGCTGACTAGATCATGAGCTAGACAGACCTACTGTTGACTATTAATGTCTGCCAAATAAGAAAACTCTTTGCTATATACATTGTTTATTTTATCACCTCCTCATATTCCTGGGCCCAGCGATCGTAGAATTGCAGTTTTTGAGCAGGGGTGCAGTCTTCATGAGCTGAGGTAATAATTTCTCGCACTTGCTGGAGGCTCCTACGAGACGCTGCCATATTCACTGCTGTATGTATTCGCCAGATCTCGATTCTGCGCAAAAATGCCAGTCAGTATATTGGGAAAAGTGCAGACAATCTATGACTTTATTTTCCCTCAATGGTTACTCAAGATAAGCCAATTAATCAACAACAAAGGAAGAGTAGGTTTGCCACTTATACACAGCAAGTTTAAAAAATGATTTGAAAAAGTTTCCCCAATTTCCATGGATCCACTTACTGATGAGAGCATTAATTTTTTATATAGTCAGATATGTCATACTTGCCAATTTAAATCTTCCCCTAAGAGTCAACACTAAAGGCTATCACAGGACCGAACTGACATTGTAAATCTATGTTCTTGTGTTCTTGGATGTGAGTCTTATCTCAGAAATGGTTTCAGAAACTGTGAAGATGTACTGGAGCAGGGCACCACACAAGTTTATAATAATAATAATAATAATAATAATGTGTAATGTGATGACGTGATGATATCTAATGTGATGTACCTGTTATTTTTAAATCCTGCATCCTGCATTACACGGTGTGAGACAACAAGGTAAGGTATCAAGCATTGTGCTTACCATTGCATGAAAAACTTAAGTCTAATTCTACTCCCTATATGAGGAGAGAGAAATAGTAAAGCAGTGTATCACCTGCTAAACTTGGTGTCTAGCCCAGGGGTCAGAAATCTATGGCACACATCCATGGCTGCCAGACCAAAATAGTTTAGGGAGATCCAATGATCTCATCATGAAATTGGCCTGACAGAGGTCCCAGTAGGACTTCTTCAGTGCTAATGGAGATTGCAGACAGCGGTGAGAAGCACCCCTCAGTTCATTCATGGCAGCGCTGGGGAGAAAGTGAATTCAGATCACTTCCTGACAGCGATTGTGAAGGAAAGATGCTGAAAAAGAGCAGCCTCCTGAGGCACCTGCCATATGCCATGTTCCTGGCCAACCCTATCTCCACTGGACCCAAAGGGGGGATATGATAGAAACATTAAATGAATAGAAACAAATACATAAAGGGAATCAACACAGTAAAGGAAGAGACTATATTTTTTTAAAAATGAAACACTACCACAACAAGAGGACATAGTCTTAAATTAGAGGGCAAAGGTTTAAACAAATATTACTTTACAGAGAGGGTAGTGGATGCATGGAATAGCCTTCCAGCTGAAGTGGTAGAGGTTAACACTGTGAATGAGTTTAAGCATGCGTGGGATAGGCATAAGGCTATCCTAACTATAAGATAAGCCCAGGAACTAATTAAAGTATTTAGAAAATTGGGCAGGCTAGATGGGCTGAATGGTTCTTATCTGCCGTCACATTCTATGTTTCTATGAAGGAAGCAGTCTTCCTACCGCTAAATGGAAGGCAAAAAATATTGTCGCTACAAACTACAGCATAGTCAAGGTGTAGGTGTAGAAGTGAGCATTATTATAGGCAATGTGTAACTGTATGTCTTGCAATTGGCTTTTGTTTAGCAGTGTGATTGTGTGTTTTTAACATTGTGTTTGGCAGCGTGTAACTGTGTGCCCTGGGAATGTGGAGGGTGACTACAAATACCACAAACCGCTCACATATAATATACACATTATAACAGCCCACGTACGCATTCATACAAGTCTGCAAAGCAGCCACAGCACCCATATATAACACACATAGCAAACAGCAACATGAGTTAAGGAATAAAAAATTTAAACCGGTATGTCAAAGGCTTTAAAAGTCTTGTTTTGGCACAGTGTTGCTGAAGGGTTGCTTACCCCTAGCTTAGACAGAGGGAATATACTAACCTGTGAACAGTTATAAAAGTCGGAGATAAATCAAGGTCAGAGATAATAATAGCATAGAAATGAATCAAGTCACCGTCTAGGATACCAGAAATGAACAATAAATGTTTAACAAGCCATGCCTGTTCACGTAAATCACGGAATATTATAATGCACTAGAAGGCTGCAGGAAGTGGTTAGACTTAAAAGCATGGGAGAAATTAGCCTCTGAGGTGCAAGGGTTCCTGAGTTGCCGATAAGCCCACATGCTCAATCAATCTTAGCACAGCATCGGGGCATACCTGTTCTGAGCGGCCTGGGGTTGATGGGATTCACACTGCCAAGCAACAGCAAGGCTTTTCAGATGCTGTCATTAATTGTGTCCCATTTTTGATACTCATACATTGGGTGAGGGGCATTGGAGAGGAAGACATATTGTTCTATATTAGCAAGGGGGGAATAAATGACAGCAGACATCTGAATGGTACCTACTTCCTGGGAGTGTGATAATACAGGATTTATTGGGGCTTCTAGAGACATCCATAAATCACTTCACCCTTGGCCTTGTGGATTATATATCACCAGAATCCTTTACGAATCCTAGAATTTACACTGCACCATTATGTGTATGTATCTTATTATTTATTTAAAAACGGGTTAATCCACCATGGAATGACCTTTAACCCCTTAAGGACACATGACATGTGTGACATGTCATGATTCTCTTTTGTTCCAGAAGTTTGGTCCTTAAGGGGTTAAACATGCAAGTTGGTGTCCTCCACCCATACAGCTGGACTTTTGATACAGTTCCTTTTATTATTAATTATCACTCTACTTACACATTTGTTTCTTTCTCTATTTATTGGTCCGAATACAGTTTGTGGATTGGCATGAGAAGTATAATCAAGGAAAATTATAAAGAGCTTTGGGGCATGTAAGGGATTTGGGGATAATAAATATTTTCTATTTCAGCCATCTTCCATTATTGGAAGCTGTGAACTTATTTTATGTATGTACACATGTTCCAACTGCCGATTACAAGTAAAGACATTTTTAAAGCTCCTGTGTGTCATGTTAAAGTCACTTTGCACGTAGTATTTGAACACTTAAGATACCATATTCCCTTTAAACTACTGGAAAAGCTGTCAACTGTCTCATCATGCTCATGTTTTAACCTAGTTTGACCTTTTATTGTGGCATGGGTGTAGCGGTTTGTCAACTAATGGATCTTAAACTAGTATATACAATTTTTTGATTAAAAAAACCCCCAAAAAACATCTGTCACTAGTACGAGAAAATGCCACGTAGTACAGGAATGGAACAGGTAGAAGGTAACTTATAGTGGAGAAGAACTGTTTTGCAAATTTTTAAATGTAATATATTGCATGTCAGAACTGATTTTTTTCCCCCCCACTAGAATCTGGAAAAAGGAAATTTAGAACTAATAACTGCAGTAGAAAACTAACTAAAAAGCCTAGATGCTTTTGTCTATTCTTCCAAAGCAACTTTAGCTTAATGAAGCAGTTTTGGTGTGTAGATAATGGCTCTGCAGTCTCACTGCTCAATTCGCTGCCATTTAGGACTTACATCACTTTTGTTTCTGTTCCTGCAGCCCCAGCCACACCTCCTCTGGCTGTGACGCACACAGCCTGCATGAAAAAAAAAGATTTACTTTTCAATTAGATGTTAACTTACTTTAGAAGTTTTTATCTCCTGCTCTGTCAATTCAAGTGTAATAACACATGGGAGGCTACTGTATGGCTTAGAAGGTTGTTAACTGTGCAGGTGATAAGAAATTCTAAATTAAACAGACTGTGCAATAAAGGAAGTGTAAACATTAGATCTCACTTTTCAGGAAGTGTTTAGGAAGGCTGCGCAAGTCACATGCAGGGAGGTGTGACTAGGGCTGCATAAAGAAAGTGGCAACTCCTAAATGGCAGAGAATTGAGCAGTGAGGCTACAGGGGCATGATCTATACACCAAAACTGCTTCATTAAGCTCAAGTTGTTTTAGTGATTATAGTGTCCCTTTCATATTAAATCTTCAGACCTACTGGTGATTCAGCATTGTATGCATCTGATGCAAGATGGCAGCTACACAAAGTTTAGAAGAACCTTCAGCAGATAACCAAATGTTCTACCACTGCAGATAAGATACTGTGAATATTCATACGATATGTCCAGTCTACAAAGTTCACCCATTATCGATATTGCTGCTTATAAAGAATGCATATGTTAGGTATATGTGCAACTGTCCTAATTATTTCCATACTGATCACAAATAGACTGCGATAAGCATTGCATTGGAGTGTAACCTATTGTTTCTTAGCGTGACTCATTTATTCTGAGCGTGTATATTTAATAATCATTTCATGGCACAAAATCCACAGAAGTATTTTTAGAACCTTCGGTCACATACCTACAAATACCATCTGTATTTGCACAATCCCTGCAAGTTTAAGTTTGACTGGTCTCCATACTATTCATATTTTCCTGAAATCATGGGCAAACGTTATTAAATTAAAACAATATCCGTAAATAACCTCTTCTCTGTGCCAGTGGTACTAATGTAGAACACTCATGACTTATAATGAAAATTGAACAAAATAAAGAAAAAAAGAAATCACACACAGATCAACCAAATGCCTTCATAGTGACTGTTGGTGGTTGCAGTATGACTTTTGGCAAACATGCCCTGTTTGCATATTTGCCAAAGGTGCGGTCTGTTGAATATAAACAAATCAAGACTCTTAAAAAGAATACGACTTTCCGTAAAAATGTTCCCAACAATTCTTTTTTAGAAACTATTAAATAATGCTTCAATCACAAAGCTCGTGCATAATAAATGTCAACATAATTGACCAAGAGGTCCATGTATTAAATCATTTGGATGGCGGCATTGCAATATTCAGCTCCACTTGCTATGGTTCCTTAGCTGAATGGGACATTGGAATGGCTCTCCCTGAGATCAGAATGCTAAAAACGGAATACAAATATGCCACATGCCATATGTAACAGGGCAGTCGCATTTCCGATCGATAAAATTTTGCTTTTTATATTTAATGCCAATGCCAAAAAGAATTGCTAAATGAGTTATAATTCCACAGATACAATTCATTATATGTGTGAATGAACAGAACTATTTCTTTGGTGGGGATGGTGACACGTGCAAACGCAACTGTTTTTTATTCTCGCTAGATCTGTGTCCTTAGATCACCCCCATCTGAAGTCAAAGAAGTTTTTGAATCTTAAACCAGGTTCCTCTGAAATCTCCCAGTTGGTTCATGCAAAAAATGTAGAACATATAGCAAAGCTAACTAATTAAGCATGACAATTCCACAATCTTATTTTCTTAGCTCATTCCATTCAATTATTTAATGTGGAGATAGGGAGATTTATATTCACATGCAGGTGGTTGAAATCTTTACTTACCAAAACAATATAACATCAAAATAAAGCCATTGATATTCAAAGCAAGCACTTGTGGCCAAAGAAAATGATTCTGGGCTTCCTCTGAATTGTGGAAAGGCATGCATCGCTTGTCTAACCTTATGTTCCTCAAACTCTTTTCCACCAAGTACCAGCAACATGCAATCATTGCCAGCATTTAAAGGACCACTATAGTGCCAGGAAAACTAACTCGTTTTCCTGGTACTTTAGTATTAATAGGTCCCCCCCACCCTCATGGTCCCCCTCCCGCTGGGCTGAAGTTGAAGGAAGAGGTTAAACACTTACCTTTCTCCAGCGCCGGGCTCCTTTGGGATGCTCCTCCTCATTTGGACATCATCGGTTGAATGCGTATGCGGGGCAAGAGCCGTGCGTGCATTCAGTCAGTCCATAGGAAAGCATTCTCAATGCTTTCCTATGAACGCTGGCATCTTCTCACTGTGAAAATCACAGTGAGAACCGCAGAAGCGCCTCTAGTGGCTGTCAATGAGACAGCCACTAGAGGCTGGATTAACCCATAAGTAAACAAAGCAGTTTTTCTGAAACTGCTATGTTTACAGCAGGCAGGGTTAACCCTAGAGGGACCTGGCACCCAGTCCACTTCATTGAGCTGAAGTGGTCTGGGTGCCTATAGTGGTCCTTTGACCCAAATTTGCACGATTTAGAAAATACTCCTCATGACAACTACTGCAGCCTGGTACCATTAATATGTGACTCTAACGGACTAGTTCTGAAGATTAGAGAGATTTCTGCATCCAGGTGCACAAGTTGCAACTCTGCTTATCCCTTTCAGTTGCCTTACAGATTGCTGCATTTGTGACAACTGCATTAGTGACTTCAGAGAGAGAGCATCAGAGTTATTTATTAAAGGAAGACTTTTTTGGGGAACTCCATGTAAATTCAAAGTGAATTCCAAATTTAAGGCCAAAATAGTCAAACTGAAAAAAAATCTCAAAGTCAGCAATGCTCACAGTTGGGTTCCCTTGACATTAAATTTGTTTTGAATTCACTTTTAATTCCTGACAATTTTACCTTTAGCAAATAACCATGAAAATGCCACTCATAACGCCTGTCTATGTGGCCAATGTACGAGCCTAGATCAGGGCTGCCCAAAAGGTAAATCCTCAGATGTTGTAGAACTACAAATCCCATGATGCTTTGCATACCTTTAGAATAACAGGGATCTACCTTTTGGGTTCTCTGGCCTAGATTAAGGCATGTACAATAGAATTGGTGCAAAGAATCAACTTACTGGGTGTAATCTTAAAGACGAGACTTGAGCCGAATGTCCTGTGTATGCCCACAGTCAGTAACCCAGAGTTATCAGATGATGCACTAATGGCAGACACTTTTCTACTAGTGAGCAATCAAAGGAATAAGCACAATTTTTACCTTTTAGATACCTTTTTTATTTTTATAAATCTGATCTTTTCTTTAAACTAAAATATAACGGAAGCAATTATTTGTCTTTAACATACATTAAAATACCACATTCTACAAAAGAGAGTTCAACCATTGAGACTTGAGAAGAGGTGATTTCACCTATAACAACAGTCATCATTTTATGTACAGTAAAAACAATATGGATTTCCTGCCTGGAAAGTTTGTTATATTAAAGAGAGTAGACACCTTCACAAAATGAGATGGAGGATTTTTATGGCTGTGATATTTTGCTGTTCGCAACAAAAAGATTTGGAAACACAATGTAAAAGTACAAAATTACTTTTGTGCATTGACTCAATATAGCCCTTGTCTCTGATGGGTTAAAATACTCTGTTTAATATTTTCAACACAATCTACAAATCTTTTGTTTGATTAAAGGGCCTTTTGTGTGCCAGGTTTGCTTTAACCCCTTAAAAACCAAACTTCTGGAATAAAAGGGAATCATGACATGTCACACATGTCATGTGTCCTTAAGGGGTTAAATATAAATCTAGATTTCTCCTTTAATGAACCACAAATGAAACATGGAAATTGAGTTGACCTGGCAAAAGTGCTTGCCTGCGTTATTATCCAATAGACAAAACATAAAGTTTTTTTTATGCACACTTGGCGTCGTCATATTTCTGTTCCAAGGCTGTTATGTAGAATATCGATTTTATGTAATAAAAAACAGACGAGGAATATGCGCCCTAGCAAGAAAAAAATAATAATGAAATAACTAGGCCAGAAAAGACACATAGAGTGTGCCTATTTTCATATATCATAAAATAATGAATCTAATAAAAAATAAGGAGATGTTATTTAGGCTGGAGAACCCACTTGGAAAAGAAAGACGCGATACTGGCTCACAGCATGTGTCTTTACCAAACTTACAGCTAATGTTTTGGCCATGTAGGCCGTAAAAAAAAGCCCAGGGTTTAGCCAAGGAGGTTCTGTTTATGGCTTTCATTCTCTAAAAAAATGTTAAACTAATTTTCATTACATATCTTAATGAAAAAAATTACATTGGACAAGAATTTTCACATAACGTTTCCATAATTTTAGAGCCCTGGGTGAGTAATTTAAATTCAGACAAACAGATTGATTCCCAGCGGTTAGTCTGTTAAAGGACCAGTGGCGTATTATGTAATCGTAGGAATCTTATCCTTAGCGATCACATTCTGACACTCTAGCAGGGTTCAATAGGGCAGCTCAGGGACAGGACCTAAGCAATTCCTTACTGTTAGTGGCGTACCTACCACCGCTGGATACCTCCTGGGTGTCTGACAGGAGGGTAGAGCTGTGCTGCTCCCCTCCTGCCTGTTTGTAGCGTGGCCAAGCGGTCTGTCAGGAAGTACTCATTCAGCGAGCACTTCCTTTGAGACCGGGATTCAGCCCCCCCCGTGTTCCTCCCGTCATAGGGGGGCCCAAGAGGTGATCTGCTGGCCATCTAATGGCCCCCCCCCCCCCCCCCCGGTGGAAGACTGTTCTCCTGGCAGAGGTGGCGAGCGAGCTGTGTTCTCCCTGCTCTGCTCCCTTGCACGCTGTTTGCTGATGCCAGGAGCCGGAATATGACGTCATATTCTGGCTCCGGGCATAAGTAGACGGCCCGTGCGGTGCAAGGGAGCAGAGTAGGAAGATCACAGCTCCCTTGCCGCCTCTGCCAGGAACACAGCCGCCTGCCTCACTGAACCCCAGGGACAGATCCAAGCCAGCTCTAAAGGTAGGGAGGCTGGGTGGACAAATTTAAAAATATGAATTATTTGTGTGTGTGCGAGTGTTGTTCTGTGAGTGAGTGTGTGTGTCTGTGAGTTTGTGTGTGATTGTGTGTGTGTATGTGTGTATATGAGTGCATGTGTGTGTCTGTTAGTGCATGTGTGTGTGTGTATGTCTGTGCCTGTATGTATGTGTGTGTCTACATGTATGTGCCTGTATGTGTACATGTGTGTATGGGGAGTACGTATGGGGGTGCCCAAGGGCAGTTTTCGTACTGGGGCCCCGTGGTTTCTAGTTATGCCTCTGCTTACTACCATAGTGGCTTTACAGGGAATTTAGTAATTGCACAGACTAAAAGCTAAATGAAAGTTAGCCATAGGTCATGCTCAATTTAATTTACATGCAAATGCAATGCTATCTTGGCACACCTTGGCATGTAATGCAAATTATTATGACTGTACAGAATTATGCAAGAAGGTTGCATCACAGGAAGATGGTAGCTTCAGCACCTGGAAGTGCTTTATTTATTTATTACTGGCATTCATAAAGCGCCAACATATTCTGTAGCTCTGTACAATTGGAAAAAAGACAATACAGTGTAAACAGACCAATACAAAAGGTAGAGGACTCTACCCTTGAGCTTACAATCTAAAAGGTTAAAATGGGGAGATGAGACAAGAGGTTGCAGAGGGATTTGAAGGTGATGGCAGAGAGAATTAATCATATATGTGGCAGCAACTGATCATGTGATGCTAAGGTGATTGACTGTGATTCCAAACAGCTAGAAGAGCAAGCTATATAGTTAGGAGGAACCAGGGTGGGTGGGCTGAGCCGAGTAGAATTGAAGAGGCTTGTTGCATGGATGGTTTGGGAATTGGGCCTAAAGAGGAGTAGAGATACCCCGTTATTTCAAGGAATTTACACCTAGGTGTGGCATGCATGGGGAAGGAGTGGGAGGGCACAAGAAAAATTTGTGGTATACAATTTAGAATTTTGCCAATCAGATCCTAACAGCCAGATTATTAATTACTACATGTAACTGCAAGTACAAACTACAACAGTGGTACACTATATACACTTTGGAGGTATGTGTGTTTTATAGTGCCCTCCAAAGCACTCCTTTCCATTTTAAATACTTCAATCACATTTATTGGGCTGAGGAAGCAGGAGTTGCCATCTTCAGAGCAAGATTTCTCTTTAACAACCAGGTTGAGATGATAGCATGGATTGCTAAATGTCTTATTTTTCAAAGCTCATTGTAGTGGTTATGGTTATAGGAGTACACTAGTGTCAACCCTAATTGCAAGTTGTCAATTAGTTTTAGAGGTATTTGACTTAGAGTGATTTGACTTCTTACTTGGTGTCTGCCAGATGCTGTTCTCTGCCTCCACTACTGCTGATGGGGCTCCAAAAGATCTCTGTCTGTCTAGCTCATTGGCCAAGAGAGATCAGCTGATATTCCAAGCCAATGAGCTAGCTCAGCTACTTACAAATGGGCAGGGCGGGTGCAAGGGTACTGCAGACACCATAACCACTAAAGCAAGCTGTAGTGATTATAGTGCTAGTTGTGTTTCATTTTTTTTTTTTTTTTTACTGGGCATGGTAATAGGAAAAGGATGTGAGGAACGATATAGAGGGAAATATCCCCAACAGAAAATCTGGTGTAGCTTTTAAGATATATACCAGTATATACCAGTAAAGCCATAAGACTTGCTTTTCCAACAGAAAGATATCCCCTGGACTGCAAGGAAGGGGAGGCATGACTGCTGCCCTGCAGTAAGGGGTGGGAATATAAAAGATACAATGTTGCCTATATAGTGGGATATAAGAGGGAGAGCAGGGGCGTGGGACTCACCAGTGCAGAAGGAGCAGTCTGGAACAGTTTCCCGCCCGCCCTCCCCCCAAAATTTCCCATGCTCTGTAATGGTTTGGCGTTTGTTTCTGTTCTTGTTTTGTCACAGCTATGGCGGAGTTCCTGGCCAGCGCACGTAATGCACGGAAAGGATTTGGGGAGTCGCAGCCTGCTAGGGCTGATGGCCGAAGGCAGGCTGTACGAACTCTGGATAAAGACTTGGAGTATCTGTCTGTTGGGTAGTCACCCCAACAGCTGACAGGTGGAAATGCTGGCTGTGTAAAAGTTTAATAAAGCTGTGGCCGTTGCCCTTACACAACAATCAGGTGTCATGTCGTTATTGGGGGTAACGGTTTTGGTATTTGGGGTCAGCAGTCAAGCAAGTCTTATGGCTTGACTGGTGTGCAGATTTTTGTTTAACATTGTATTAACTATCCACAGACTTCAGATGGAAGGGGTTTTCAATCACAATTTTTCCCCACCATGGTGTTTTCTCTCTCTCTATATATAAATAATCCTTTTTGTCCTTGCACAGGTTCTTCCAAATGCTGGGTGCATTCTAGCCACAGCCAAAAATTATAATAGAGATAATGAAAAGAGACTTGCATTCACAGTCTTTCTTTATTCCATTTCTTGTTAAAACATAATCATAATCAACGTTTCAGCCATCGTTTGTGGCTTTCATCAGGATCAGCTCAGCAAAAAAAAACTGATCCTGATGAAAGCCACAAACGATGGCTGAAACGTTGATTATGATTATGTTTTAACAAGAAATGGAATAAAGAAAGAAATTCCACAAAGGAGAAAGACTGTGAGTGCAAGCCTCTTTTCACTATTTCTCTCTCTCTCTATATATATATACACATAAACAGTGAAACATGTTAAAATAGTTTATTTAATTCTACTAATAGAATCACTAATGATACATATATAACTTGTCTTTGGTTTAAAGGGACACCCTGGACCCCTAAATCAATAAATGGCATTGGCTTGTTGAGGTGCTTTAAGTGTGTCTTTTTTTAATTTAAAAAAAGTGCAGATTTTATTAGAATGGATTTCAAGCAGACAACAGGTCCTGTTAGTTCCTGGTTTGTTTAGCTCAATGGGTCTAAACTCAAGAGGCAGCAATTGCTCAGAGCACCTGCATTACAAAGACTTCTCATTGAGCTGCATTGGGAAGACTGTGATTGGACAGCCACAGAAAGTCTGGGGGGAGGGGTGGGTGCAAAAACAACAGACAAGAGATCTGTAACTTGTGTAAGCTGTTTTTTGACATATCCACAATGGAGAAAAAAAAAACATAATCAAACTCATGCATATTTTCATCTGGGGTATATCTACTTACATTTATATTTGGGCAGTGGAGTGACCCTTTAATGTATGATCCCTAGAACGGGCTGGGATTATTATGAAAGGCTGCCCTACTAGATTTTCTTTGATTCCTATGCAGATGCTTTTGAAAAGCATCTGCAGAAAGATTTTATTAATTATCACCACAGCCCTTAGGGGTGTGGGTTTTCTACAGCTATGCAGTCACCTTTAACGCTAATTGAAGTGGTCTCGGTGCTGTGACCCTTTGGCACATTGCAGCTCTAAGTCTGCCCTCTGTGGATGTCTAACAGACAGCCACTAGAGGGTTTCCGGAATCCAAACAGACTTTTGGTCCTTTATCTGACGCTGGACGTCCTCACGGACCTCCAGCATTAGATTTTACCCATAGGAAAGCATTGAATAATGCTTTCCTATGAGGCGGTCTAATGCACGCGCGGCCATTGGAGCGTGAGCAGAGCCTGACCCAGCGCTGAGGGACATCGGCGCTGGATTCAGGTAAGTGGCTGAAGGGGTTTTAACCCCATCAGCCTTGCAGGAGGGGGCCCCCGAGTGAGGGGGGGCACTCTTGGAGCCTTTAGAGACAGGAAAACGTGTTTGTTTTCCTGGTACTATAGGATCCCTTTAACTGAAACGGGCCCTTGGAAAAAGAAAAAAAATCAATAAACATATGCAAAGAATAGTAAGGTTACCTAAAAACTAGTAAGCAACGTAAATAAAGTGCACTTTAATAGCAATAAAAAGGAAATTCATTACTTATATGACAGCTTTCCTGCAGGTGCCAAATTAATCTAATTATTAAAAACAGGCACATGCTTTGAGTATTGCCACTCACGACCTTGTATTACCTTACAGGAGCAGCTTATCCAAAGGCTGGTGTGTGTGTTTGTGTACGAGTGTTCAACTTCCCAGCATGCTCTGTGTGAGGAAGCTCTGCCTCGCTGTACATTAACTGCGAGTCCTCTGTGACACAATGTGACCAAGCTTGTAGCAGACGTTCACTGAATACAACATTGAAGTGGAACTGTGATTTATGCATAATCTGATAGCTAACAAAAAGTTAATTTTCAAAAGGAAATCGTAATGTTTTTTATTTTCCGTTTTACAGAGCAGAGACAGTTTTCCGCTTTAAATCTTTGTGATTCCGGCTTGTTAACAACAATCCTACTGCAGACCCTCTGGCTATTTTTATAATTCTAGTTCCTGGTAACCATTTGTCTCCCATGGCGTTCTGCAGCATTTTAAAAGATCAGAGTTGGTCACTGGGAAACCGGTTTAAAGATGTAGCCTGATAAATCGAGCTTAAAGGCCAAATGGTTTGTTTACTAAACAGTTTTTTGTGACCTGAAATCTGAATTTGCTAAAAGTGGGTAAAATATCCTAGAATAGTTTTTTTTGTTTTTTTTTTATTCAGTATAATTCTATATTATTTAGTATATAAACCCTGGAAATGTGTTTTACTTTAAAGGTTATGTTAATTTGTGTACATTTTACAGTTTATTCGCTTTTTTCCCTTTCTTCGTGTTTGCAAAACACCACTAACACGAGGAACGAGTTGGCCACAATTTCAAAAGGAAGAAAAATGGATATTTACAATTGTTCAAAAACACCATGACAGATAGAAAGCTAAAACTAAAATATTACAAAATAAACATTCATTGAATTTACAAAATATGTCTGTATGTTTAATGGAAACAATAAGTAAGGCTTGAAGCCAGTTTTTCATGCATTATATAATATTATTTCTTCTAGAAGTAGGCTAATATAGGATGTAACCTATGCACTAGGACTTGGCTGACGCTACAGAATAACAAAGTTGTCATTTTTTCTGCTTCTCTTTGATTCAATGACATTTTAAATAAAATTTTTGACTCTCAAGATTTTCTCAGCATTATTTTAACGATTAACATCTACCAAGTGTCCTGGATCTGGTGGGACAGTCTTTATTTGAGCCCTATGTCCTGCTGATCTGAGCTATTTCTCTGGTATCCTGGCTTTCAAGGAGATCAAAGAAATTCTCATATCCCTCAACTTCTGTCCCCAAGAAATCACTACATAAAATGGGCAGGGTGACTGCTACAGAAGTTGTGTTATCAAAGTGTTATCTGTAACTTCACAAAATAGTGACTAGGATCTAGGTCATAAATCTGACATTGTTTTACTCAGAAGATATAAATAAGCATAATTTAAGGGATGTTTTCACAGTGACATATGTTCAAAATATCCAACAAAAAGTATGTAAAAAATGCAATTTCTATCAAAAATAACTTAGACATAAATTGGTTGAAATTTTTTTAAGCACAATATTTGATACCCTGGACTGTCTAATTTCTCAAATGGTAGGCCTTTGTGGATTTATCAGTCAGACTGCTACAATGCCCCAAAATGAGACACAGGACCATCAAATACATCTATGAAAATTCTAACCATAGGAACTGAAATAGCCTGGTCTCTTATATGGCATTATAGCTTCACATAATAGTGGCATACGATGGGTGTATCGTTGTACTCAGCAGATGTAGCTGAACACAATATAGGGTTTTGTACAAGAATAGCACAAATCATCTTTACAAAATACACATTAGAAATATTGTTATATGTCTGTATGTCAAAAACCAGAAAAAAACACAATTTTACTACAATATTTAGCAGAGATTGTCGATTAAATGGCTACGTAAAAAGTGTCAAAATACCATTAGGTAAATAGTTTATGCTGTCTAGTTTATATAAATATATACAATTTTCTCAGCGATAGCTATTAAGGTTACTAGACAAACCTACCAATTTATAAAATTGTTACACATTGAAATTGTATTTTACTCCTTATATTTTGTGACCTGTAACTATCAAAATACACTGAAATACTATACACATTATATACTCAGAAAAAAACACATTACTGTAAGTTATTTAGAATTACCATTATAAAGTTGCACTTATTATGCACACATTATTATTGCCAAAACTGTGAAACAAAATTCTTATTTATATATGTATATGTCACATCAGATTAAAGCCCTTTTTGTTCTTTAAAAAATGGTAGATAATTGTATTGGTGCAATAAATGAGAAAAATGCAAATTGCAATTGAACACAAACAGCAAAAAATTTTGACACATTTGTACTCCTGACACTAGTGTTCCTTTAAGATTAGGCGTAGTCGTTAGGATTAAATGTAAAAGGGTTAAGGTTAGGCAGTGGAATAAAATGTTTAAGATTCGTTTCAGCTGATAGAAGGGTGGTAATTTGGACAGAGATTAAGGTTGGGAACTTTATAATCAGACTTAAAAGCATTATGGCTAGCCATTGGTAACAGAGGTTAGCAATGTGTGTCAGCTATTAGGAAATGAGCCCATTGTGAGTATTTAGACATCATAGAAAACATGCCTAGGCCCCTTTTTCTAGGAAGAGATGGAGCCCAGGGGCAAGTAAAGGTCACTAACACTTGGGTGCAGGACTAATTAGTGCGGTATATGTATGTAATTAAATTGCTCTTCCCTTTCTGTATCTCATTGCCTTTAAATATCGTCTCCTTTTATGTGCTCCTTTCACAATAAATAGCATCATAGAAAACAAAAAATCTAAGGATATGTATGCACTAGTCAAGCTAATAACAGTAATATTGCCGCTGTTGGTGGAACATACTTCACATTCTCAAATGTTCTAAAATAGCCTAAAGGTGCAGATTTCTTCCAAATGTGTATATGACTGTATACATAATATGTGTATGCGTACCTGGTGTATAATGTTTGTAGAATGTGCATAATATATACAGGAAAAGGGTTGTAGGTAGGAGATTTCGACTGTGTTGGTGGATAAATATAGATTGTTGGGTGCAGGGAGCTATGTGACTGGTTTGGGTAGGAGCCAGGCCTGGATTTGCCATAAGACCGTTGAGGCCACAGCCATGGGGCGGCAGATAAGCAAGGGTGGCCTCACACTGGCCAGCTGATTCTCAAACCATTGGGCCAAGCTGACAGGGGAGATCTCATGCAGGGCCAGCATTCAAGTACAGAGAAGATTTACTGTATCAGAGGATTACCATGGTAACACTCTGATAAAATACCCCAGAGCCAGCCAAAAGGTGCTGTCTGTGCCAAGAAGGGTGCAGACAGCAACATCTCCCACCGGACAACCAGGAATCAATCAGGGGGGGGGGAAACACTTTAGTTTTTCTTTTTAATTAACTTTTTTTCTAAGCAGTCCCTCATGGCCTGTTGCCCATACTACAATCCCAGTCCTCCCATTACAGGCCCCTGTCTTCCCATTATTGCCATTACCGCTCACCAAGCCCCTATCTTACCACCACAGCCACTACGCCCTCACCAAATCACCTATCCACCCACCAAAGGCCCTATTACTTCTAACACAGCCCCTGTCCTCCCACTGCAGCCACTATTTTCCCACACTACAGCTCCTACCCCCAAAACAGAATTTGTCCTCCACAACTGCCACTATCCAACCACCACAACCCTTGTCCACCCACTACAGACTACAGTGAGGAAAACAAGTATTTGATCCCCTGCTGATTTTGAACATTTGCCCACTGACAAAGAAATGATCAGTCTATAATTTTAATGGTGGGTGTATTTTAACAGTGAGAGACAGAATAACAAAAAAAGAAAAAAATCCAGAAAAATGCATGTCAAAACATTTATAAATTGATTTGCATGTCAATGAGTGAAATACGTATTTGAGCCTCTATCAATCAGCAAGATTTCTGGCTCACAGGTGTCTTTTATACAGGTAACGTGCTGAGATTAGGAGCACTCTCTTAAAGGGAGTGCTCCTTATCTCAGCTCTTTACATGTATAAAAGACACCTGTCCACAGAAGCAATCAATCAGATTCCAAACTCTCCACCATGGCCAAGACCAAAGAACTGTCCAAGGATGTCTGGGACAAGATTGTAGACCTACACAAGGCTGGAATGGGCTACAAGACCATCACCAAGCAGCTTTGTGAGAAGGTGCCAACAGTTAGTGTGATTATTCGCAAAATACACAAAATAACTGTCACTGTCCCTCGGTCTGGTGCTCCATGCAAGATATCACCTCATGGAGTTTCAATGATCATGAGAACTGTGAGGAATCAGCCCAGAACTACATGGGTGGATCTTGTTAATGATCTCAAGGTAGCTGGGACCATAGTCACCAAGAAAACAATTGGTAACACACTACACAATTAATCAATTTTAAGAGGCAGACAGGTTTATGTATAATAGGCTTCACCATAATGTATAGCTCTGCATTCAACATATCCTGACATGCGGGTTTCTACTTATCCTGACATGCGGGTTTGTACTTGCACTTATCATCTGTTCATTTGATAATGCAATCCACCCTATATCTATTTCACATGTCCCTGCATCTCCCTTTACCTTACATAGTAAATACTGCTCCCAGACTCATAATTTGAGCCTGCTGAAATCCTCGCACCTCTCTCCTCCACCAACCCTTGCAATAGTTTATGGTAGATTATTGGTTCAATTAAAAATCTGTATTTCATTAAATGTATATATTACTATACCCCAAATTACATATTCTAAAAATAGGCATAATTAACTATCTACATTTCTCATAACACCTTATTTCTCAATTCGAGGTAAGTGCACCTTAGCGCCCCTGAAGGCAGCCAGCTGGGGGGAAATGGTGGTGGCAGGGGAGTCAGTGTCCCCTGTGTGTGTGTGCAGGGGCAGACTGACAGCCTTCTGGGCCCCTTATGTTTCAAATAAGTGTGCATTTTTTAATTTGTATATGGTGTGAGGGTATGTGTATGAAGGCATGTTTGTATCTTAGTGTTAAAATCATTGTAAACACTGTTGAACTTTGTCCACGTCAATGCATGTGCTGTTTTGTATATACATACTTCCAGTATGGTGTAAATGCACAAGCAGTTAACTACACACTGTGACGGAACGCTGGCACTCCGACTGAGTACCTCCGCCAATCGATGCTCCTAGCGCTTACCGAGGACTCCAAGCACTCCAACCGACACCATCAGCACTGCAGACCCCACTTCCAGCGATGCAACTGCGCTGGGGTCTCTGCTGTCTCCACCCACCCTGGACCCAAGGCCAGGATCCAGCTTCCAGTGGGTGAACCTCTCTTTCCCCAGAGAGCAGGAACAAGCTCTTAGCAGAACTTAGTGATCATACCCTGGGGAGTATAGTGATTATAGCAATCCCCAGAGTGTATTTCTCCAATCCCCAAACATGAGCCAAGGCTTAATGCTGGAACAAGACTGATTTACTGGCACACAGAACTCACAATTTATGCAACACAAAACTCCTCCTCTGGGCCAGGCTAGATAATTGAGTTTCTACAATACACAAAGCTCAATTATCTGCTGGCCAGAAGTAATACATTTTCATAAAACACACAGGGACCCCAAAACATGCAATAACCCCATAAAAAGTATATCCTTGGAACCAGGGGATCTGGGTGAACCACATATCCAAAATTCACCCAGATCCGTTCAGTACTTTGGAAAATACAGTTTAATGCAGATTCTGCAGAACATATACAGGCTAAATGAAAAACAATCACTTTATAATGTGTCCCCTGCTGTATAGTCCAAAACCACTGCACGATGTCTCTGTGCACCAAATACTGGCGAGATGGCACCGTGTTGAAAAGTCCAAACAGTGTCTGTGAGTTAAAATGGCCGCCATCCATTGTTCTCACCATGTGCTTCTGATACAGGAAATGGTGGCCACCCAGTAACTCCACAGTATGTCCCCAGATGGTTCTTAAAGGGCCAGCAGCAGCACAACACAAATCCATTATGCCC